TTATATTTTAAAACATTGTAGGTATTAAGGTATTATTATAATATATTTTATTAGTGACCGATCGGCGTGCGTTTCGAGCGGAAAACCAAACATTTTTTTCATTTTTTTGGTGGATCCGGTATAAACGTATAGAGCTGTATAATATAGTGGTATTCGACAAAACGCGATCGCTAACCGATCATCATAACCACCGCATAATATACCTCTAGTAATTTGTATACACCGTTAAGCGTATATTATATTATATTTATCGACATTCGACAGTAAGTACTTAATTGTTTTTGTAATAATTAAACTATTCTTGTTGACTGATATTCCAGAATAATATTGTGATGAGTTTGTTTACTTCCGACTACGATCAATATAAAATATAATATAAAAAATTTGCGATATTATATTATATTATTATACTGTTGCACGCGGAGGTAAAAACTAAAAATATATAATAATATTATTATGTTACGAAATATATTATTATATATTCTTGAAACAATGTAGGTACCTATAATATTACACTCGCTATTATTGTAATTTAATATAGGTGTACTAACTGGTTTTTAAATTCCATTATATTCGTGCACTGCAAACGCCGTCTCGGAAAGTTCGATGCTCGACTTTGCATATTATATTTTAATATTATACACATTATAATGATATTACTCGTTCATGTACTCGGAGGTTGTTCCAATATCGTTTAATATAGTAACGTTGTTTTATATTCGTTTGAATTTTAAAAATGTCAATCGAGTTACATGCACTTCCAATAACTGTATTATATAGGTACATGCCGTTAATTCAATATTAACATTAAAAATAAGAACATTGTACGTGTTTGTGTATTATTTCTGTAGGACTTATGTTTCTACCTAAAATATGTGTCTATATCTACTTACAACTGTAAGATAATCTGTGAAGAAGATCTATACTCAGGTCGTATAAGTGCTATTAATGTAATAGTGTTTGATAGATTAGGTCAGGAAAATGTGTTTATCCAAGCCATATTTGTTGACAATAATTCATGTAATAACTATAAGCAATATGAGAGCTTTAGAATCTAAGCTTTACAAATACATTCGATTCACGTATTATGAGATAACAACCGTTTGAATAATAATCGAAAAATATTTTTGATTGCAAGGCCTCAGCGTGTATTTCACGCATCGCTAAGAGCTTTTTAAAGCCAGTGAGTATTTTAAGAGGTATTTTTTAACTATTTTTTACAAAATTATTCACTTTAAAAAAACGCTTATTACCATCCGCTGCGTTCTTCAATCTTAATATTAAGAATTCGAAAACAACCTACGCAATGAAGTCAAATAATATTAAGGACTGATCCGAATTATAAAATTAAAAAGATCTATCGTAGCCTATACTCTCGTAATAATATTATGTATTATTTTATATTTTTTATATATATTACCTCTATGATAATATGCATGTAACAAAAAATATAATCGATCGTACCTATTTTTTTTTTTGTTTTTTGATTGTCAAAATATAAAAGCTTACAACAGTTTTTGAGGTTGGTCACCGTTCCCCAACCGCCTTAACCCGGTGTTATGGATTTGAAGTCGATGATAAATCGATGCGTTCGAAAAACTTATTGTGTATACATATACTTTTTTCTTCTATATAAAGACTTAATCCATACGGTTTCCGATTCTTTTGCATCTCTCTCGAAGAGACGCTTACTATTTGGAGTAGCAATATATATTATATGAAAAACAAAAACTCTTCTACGAATACAAGTGTTTGACTGCACCGCGATGACACTACTTTAATAACTAAATATAAGGTAGTTAAAAAAAAAAAAAATGTTATAATAGAGGTATCCAATATATTGCTAATAGCGTATACCTACCGTCTACCATCATTTTAGCCCATTCGATTTCCTACGCGGTCCAACACCCCTCGCTTGACGTTAATGATTGATGATAAAATTATGGCTTGATATAATACAATAATAATAACAATAATTAGTATTATTGTAGTATTTATCATGTGCGCATATCCATATATAGACAGCGGCAAAGTGGGGTAAACGGAGCGAGCAAAAAAAAAAAAAAATGTGCAAAGAAAAAAGTCAAAGCGTTCGCGATATAAAAACGCCTTTCGTTAACCCCGTTAACGAGGGCGATCAATCGCGCATCGGCAGACGCGGCTCGCCGGTCGAGATGATTTTGACTAATGGCCGCGTCGTTGACACACGTCGTTCCACCCTCAACCCCTACAACCTTCCGAAATTCCCTCGAAGGGTCGAAACCGCAGTTTCACGTATTGCACAAACACAACACACACATCACGAGACACACGCACACACTAACGCTGGCGGGTATTCATATAGAAGGTTGAATTGGGGACGGTCGAGTATTATACTGTATCTATATGCAACGATGGCGGCTGCGGATGAGTCGGAACGAACACCGGACTCACATTGTTTCTGGTGCATGTGAGAGAGAGGCTGTGGTAGAGGTGGACGAAGAAAGTGTTATACAATTTTATTCAGATTCAAAATTTGTTAATCACAAACTACTAAAATATATTAGAGAAATGTTATAGTTAGAGATACGCCCTACATAAGTACCAAAAATGAAAAAAAGCCTTAATGATCTGAAGACTAAAAAAAAATAGCAAATAAATAATATTACTTATCGGATTTTTACTATATACAATAACATACAGGTACATAAATATTAACATATATTCATAATAAGCTTATGTCTGTAAAATCATGATGTGTATAGGTCTGTATAAGCACCCGCAAGCAGTAAATTTGACCACAACAAACGATATTATAGAAATATTTTTAAAAATCTACGTACATTTTCTTTAAAATTTAAAACTTAGTAAAAATGACATCAACGTAAAAAAAATAAATTATGACGTTATAATAAATGTCTTAAAAATATGAATAAACTCAAAATAAAACTGATGTACTCAGGAATCAATGAAATTTGTTACTTGCAGATTAGCATTAATGTCTAGGATTAAAGGAAAAAAATGTAAAAGTCATCGACATATCGTAGCTATATATATCTCGAGTAATAAAGTTATGGAATTGCCAAACGGTTTTTTTCTGATGTCGACACTCGTCGCGATGATCGTCAGTGGTCATCAGTGATTTCCAGACTTCCTTATAGATAATATGAAAAGGTACCTATTGGAATAAAGTACATAGTTCCATATCTTTATAACGCGGTGCGTGTAAAAATGACGTCTTCGAATTAAACATTCGTCACGAACTTTAATTTATAGAGGACACGTTTCGTCCTGTTACCGTTACCGTTTTTGAAGAACGAAATGAACAAACGACTTCGAAAATCGTGTCGGTGGAAACAAAAACTTGCAGTAAGCGTTTATTTTTAAGTTCACCATCGCCACATGCCCACATTTAAAGCTCCATATTTCTTTATCATGGACGGGGCAAACGCGTATTATTATTGTACGTCGAGGCGGTAGGCGTATTTATACAGTTCTATCACAATAATATTGCTGCTCGTCCTGTATGATTAATGTAATAATATTATCATGTTGTAATGAGATGATTATAATAATAACAATAATAATGAATATTATCTTTCGACTGCCGTTGAATTGTTATCCTGTATATAGGGACGCTGCAGCGTCGCGTGGTTGGACCACCTTTGTCGGCGTGGTGTCACGCTATTTTAACCTTTTTTTTTCATTATAATACATGGCATGGACCTTGATGATTTTTTTTCCATTTTGTTTTCGCAGCATCATTATGGTCTAGCACATTATGTCATTGCTCGCGTCCATTGATCGCTCAACCTTTTCTATTGAAACAAAACCAAACGCGTCCTTAACACGACTTTGAATATATACATTTCGTACCCACTTGAACCGTTTCTGTACACACGGTCATGCGATATAAAGTTCGTTGATTCTAAAAATAACAATAAGTGTTTATTAGGTATGTCTTAAACGATGTTCCTATGCAGTTCGTTGGAAATGTATTGGTACATTATATTATGTTGTTAGAATGCAGACGTCATAGAAATAAAAACAACGAATAAGCGATATCCTTGAAAGTCGACTAATTTTTTTTCAAATGTGAAGACGTTTCGATGTATACAATTAAATCATTATATAAACGCACTATAGTTTATAAAGTATGACAATACGATGACCAGAGTGCATTTTCAATTTTATTGCACAATAAATACTTATATAATATTTTTTTTCTCCGTATAATTTCTATTACTAATAAATAAATGAATAATATTAATTTAATACTATATGCCATTCTATGTTGTTATTTACAGTTAATATTGTATGCACCAAACACGAATCATTAGTTATCATTTGAAGACATATGTTATTATATTGTACATAATACAGTATGTTCTATATATGTTGCCATGTACCTATAATATAAGTATTATGTTTTTACTAGCTGCTTCGTAATTGTTTAGAACATTAACGATTTGCTAACATTAATTTGATTCAAAAATGAGAAATTATTGCAATATTTTCCTGAGTGAATGTACAATTATTTTTAAATTTTTTTTCGTGATAAATCTTACCAACTGATTAGTGTATGCGATTTACAGCTGACGGCTTTTAAGGAAACACACAATACGATCCGATTGGTATATTGTAGCCTGTAGGTCATCACACATGTATACATTTTAGGTGTAACCTGTCAACAAGCATATTCCTCCCATTTCGTCCAGCCAGTTGGCCGTCTTCACTCCCCCTGTATTAGGTCATCTGATACAAATAATAAAATAACAAAAAAAAAAAAAAAAAATAGTAGAGCGAAGAGGCCTCCCCCAGTGGAGAAACACATCTCCTTCACTTAATATATTTCAAATTTGTTAATACGATCAGATTACTTTATCACTAAAAAGTAAAATAACGTCGTTAATATATTTAAGTATAAGGAAATCGTGTAGCATCGTCGCAGATAATTCTATTCTTTGGTTTCCAATAATAATTAAATACTCTAATTATTTATTATGTTATATGTTGCACAGGTAATAATATTGTTTTACCGCCGTCTACTGGAAAATAAAAAATAAACCAAAAATGGATTCCGAATCGTTTAGAGAATTTGGAAAGACCGTCATTGACTACATCGCAGACTACATGGACAATATCCGAGACAGGTATAAAAAACACCTTTTTTTGTGGTCGCGATCGCCGAAATATTATAATGTATTACACTTGTTATAAGGGCTCGCAAATAGTAATACATAATATATACATATCTTCTACCTGGTATAATGATGACCATGTTACGCAAAATGTATTTTCATTTAAAGTTAAAAAATATAAAAAATACACTCGTTTCAGGCCCGTTCTGTCCACCGTCAAACCGGGATATCTGTACGAATTGGTGCCGTCCGAGGCTCCGGTCAAAGGTGAAGATTGGAAGACGGTGTTCGCCGACGTGGAGAACATTATCATGCCCGGCATTACACACTGGAGCTCGCCTCAGTTTCATGCGTTTTTCCCGACCGGAAACTCGTATCCGGCTCTCATAGGCGACATGCTGTGCAGCGGGATCGGACCTATAGGATTTTCTTGGGTATGGAGGTATATACATAATATTGAAAACGCGTTCTTTCGAAGGCGGTAAAAGGCGTCTCAATGTTATTTAACTATAATACGGTTACAACTCAGATTCCGGAAAATTGCAGAATTGTATACATTTTAATGACCATTTATATAGATACAAATAAACACGTTACCAAAAAATACGGTCTCGGATGGTTTTAAATGCAACGTGGCCATACTAAAAAAACATATTGTATTTACGCCCATACATGTATCACTTTGTGAAATAACCGAATATTTGCTTTTTTGAAAATAAGACTTTCGTAAAAACATAATTTAAGTTACAAACATCAGACATGATTACACTTTTCACGTAGTTATTATACTTATGTATTTTAGTATTTGTTATTCTTACCGGGACTTATGGTTTATTTTCTTATGGTTAGAGATATATTTTGGAATTACTCGTATATCAGATTTTGAAGGAAATTTCAAAAGCTATAATTGTATATTAAATTTTTATTTTGTATGACTATAGCATTATCAACTGTCAAAAGTTAATTCATTTCATTTAATTTTTCCATAAAATAAAACATCAAATTTAAATTATATTATAGTTACTCAATGTTATTTCATAAGGATAATAGTTAGGTAATTAAAAAATACATTAATACATAAACTCGATATTGGTTTTATCGAATTTTAATTACCTTTAAATTTTAACATAAACTGTAGTTTTCAAAAATTTTAGTTTATAATTACTAGAACAAAAACAAATGTAATGGCAACGTTGCATAAAAAATCAAGTTAAATCGTATGTATATTTAAATATTAAGTACTTGCAATTTGCGGAATCGTGTATGTACAGAAATAGTTATTATTTTCTTAATCTCTACCGTATAGAACTGTATCGTTTCATATTATATTATGGACTATTACAAAGGGTTGAATGGCTCTAATATTAAATACATCTACCTCAAGATTGTGGGGCATTCGATTTTTTTTATTTCATTTTAATGGGTCAGTTGTATTTTAAGAATTTACCGGTATGTGTTATAAAATATTCGTCTAGACAATAATTTATATCGACATGACATGATTATTAAAAACGTTTTAATCTATAGCTGTTATATTAAATTTAAAAGTTTTTATAGTTCAAAATAATCATCGTATACTTATAAGTCATAATAATAATGTAATACATTTTTAATGTAAATTATATATATATGCAGTTTCTCACGAAAATTTAATAATTTATTAGTTTAGTAACAGCCACCTTTAATTAGTAAGTCTTCGTGGAACACTGCAGTATGACTGTATGCATATAATTTTTTTTTCATTTAAAAATTATAATATTTTATACAATTTTTATCACCTAAATTGTTTGATACCAAAATAGTAGATAAGTTATAAATCTACCGTAAGACAAAACGTATTCGTTCTTGACGATAAATTATTTATTAGGTATGTGTTCGTGAATTTTAATGTACCATTAATAATAGAATAGCTTAAAAAATGGAGAACTCTGCTGTTTCAGCCTTTAGTTTAAAATGCTCAAGTTCAAGTAGACTAAATTGTTTATTGTCACTATATCAACAGAAAAAAAATCAAAAACAACTTTTAAGCCTTGTCTCAGATTGCCACAGGCTACAATACAAATAATGGGTTTTTTGTCTACAAATCAATCTTATAATTACATAATTTATGTTACTATGTATTTTTTATACAATTTTAATTTGCAGCTAATTTATCAGAGGTGAATGTGCTTTGAATATAATTATAAAAGTTATGACGGTGGTGTTTTTACGATAATGAACAATTGTAAAGCTAATTGTAGTACTTATCTTTAAAACATATATATAAATATTATTTTGTTTTTGTCTAAGATATTATTTTTTGTATTAACAATCAAAAATCATTTACTCTTAAGTAATCAATTTTTTAATACATTTTTATCATTTTTATATTAATTCGGTAAATAGTCAATTTAGTGTACATAAATTACATTTTATTTTCAATCTTCAAAAAGATAATAAACAATGTCTATTTGAAAAAACCTAAACGAATATGACGTTACAAAAATTACTTTTTGTTTTGCAATATTATCTGAAGTTTGCATTGCAGTTGATATTATGAAACGAGTGTAATTAATTCGAAAGTTTCGAAAAGTTAGAACGTCATTTTTGAATACCCTGGCGGAGCTCAAAGCTATGTGTTAGTGCTGTATCCGTTTATATTATTTGTTAATTGTTACCAATCTCCGAATCTCCTATATAAAATGAAAATATCTATTAATATTAACTAATTAATCTTTTTTTTCTTGTTTTTTTTATCTTTAAACATGTTAATATTGTTGTAATAGATGAGATAATAATTTAAATATTGAAATTTAATAAAAAAAATTATAATAATAAACAAAAAAATAAAAAAGTATAGTTATTTAAATATAGACTATTGTTCACAGATAACGAGTCCAGCGTGTACCGAACTCGAAGTGCAAGTTATGAATTGGTTCGGAAAAATATTAGACTTGCCGAAAGAATTCTTGAACGAGTCCGAAGGACCCGGTGGTGGTGTTCTCCAGGTATTTATTAACAAATGAATTACCTATATCTCTGTCGTATCTGTTCTAGGCCAACTGTGTGGTAGTTTTAATTGGCCACACGGTGATAAATTAATAAAAATAATAATATACTCGCCTGGTTCATGCAGGGCAGCGCTAGCGAAGCCACGTTCGTGTGCTTGTTGGCAGCCAAAGACCGCACGACGAAGCGAATCAAAGCACTCGATCCGAGCATGACTGACGGCGAGATCAAGGCAAAACTGGTGGCCTACACTTCCGGTAAGTTTTTACGGGGAAACACCATCCATTATAAAGCACTATCGGTAATATTATAATACGCTTGTAGAACGATTGATGGAGGTTTTATCGATTCCATCGGTTTTATAAAAAAAATTCCATCAGCTGCTGTTAGTTGTTCGTACCAATATTTATATTGAAAATGATGCCCATATTTTCGGATTAAATTTAGACTTTTCACAAATTATGGCGCTTATCACAGAATTGTTTTGCTTCTCATCATCAATTTTCAGTATAAGTGTATAATAATATACTGTAAGGCCGCAGCCAGAAGACAATTAGTTGGTTTATTGATAGAAATAAAATAATTTATTATACCATATTATGTCTGAACCTTAAACCCACTCATGGTTACGGCCTTAGTAATATTATATTAAGACGAGCCACCCATAATATATTATAAAAAAGTTCGGGGGGAGTCGCGTTGTAGCCGGCGCAATCGATAAGTCTCTTACAGGTATAGGTACTAAAGATAATTTGGGTGGAATCGATACACGACCGATCGATTATAATTATTCGATTTTTTAATAAAACCGTGCATGTACCCTCCGCGCCTACATAAATATAGATCAGTCCAATTCGAGTGTGGAAAAAGCCGGTCTCCTAGGATCGATGCCGATGCGAATGCTCAAGGCGGACAAAAGCGGTCGGATGACCGGGCCCATACTGGCCGAAGCCATGGCCGAAGACATCGCCCAAGGGTTGATACCATGTTACGTGGTTGCCACGTTGGGCACCACTGGCACTTGCGCGTTCGACTGTCTGGAGGAGCTTGGCCCCATCTGCAACGAAAATGACATTTGGCTGCACGTCGATGCCGCTTATGCAGGTACACGAGCTATACCTACTTTGAGTGTTGTTCAATATAATAATATTATGTTATAATTATGTGTTTTATGCAAAATGTATGCAACTAGGTAATATTGAACATGTGTTATACTTTGTGTTTCATTTAGTAGGCAGGTACAAAATGGGGAAATTTGAAAACGAAATTTTATATGATACGTACATGATTTGATTGAGCTTAAAATGTCTATATAATTCATCAAGTTATAGAAGGGTAAAAGTGTTAAACTATTAAAATGTTATCATACAAATTATTTTTTTAGCCTGTGCAATGCTACTTCGTTGGCTTTCAATTTTAGGTTTTAAACTAAAATTAAATTTAAAAACAAATAATTGATCAATCAATCAATAAAAATTAACACATTACGCAGTTTCCCCAAATGTTTGTACTAGTGGTCTGGGTTCTCGAGTCTTCATTGTAATATATTATAATATTATGTAAATGAAAATTTAAATATTGTATCGTTACCCGCCTTAAGATCTTTATTATTATCTCGCGCATGGTGTTATATAGAATTCCAGATCAGCAGAAGTAATTTATATATGGAAATTTGATAGAATGACTGAATTTCCGACACTAAACTGTAATTTAAAATTAATATTTTATATGTCTTACACATGTAATACAATATTAGTATTTTAGTACATAATTTTATAGACGACAGCTACACGTTGTAGTTAAGCAAATAAAGCATACAAATATGTTTTTAAGTATAGAAAATTCAAATACAAAATCCTGATTTGCATGTTTGAATGATTTATATGAAACTCGATCAAGACCAACTTTTTTTCTTCTATCCGTAGAATGACTAATTTTTTTTTTCTATCCGTTTTGGATTTACTTCCTTTAATTCTCTGAATGATTCTTTTCCTATATTCAACATAATATTTTGTTTTGTACAATAGGTACGCCTAAGTCTGCCTCTTGCTGGTTTTACTTCAATTGTCATAGTCATTATCCATGTATTATTTCTTATGATATGTCCTATCCAATTCTTTCTTCTCTCCACGATTGTTAAACATATATGGACTTTTTTTCTTCTATCCTCTGACTCTGTCACTTGTTCTGTCTACGAAATTTATAATACCGCCTTCTCCAGCACAACGCTTCAATAGCTTCTATATTTTCCTTCTGTCCATGTGGAGGTATGTATAACTATTTACATTTTCCATTTTTATATAGTCCTAATATAATAAACTGAACTTACATATCGTTATCTATATTATGATGTTTATTATTTATGCAGCATTATAACTGAAACGTCTGAGACTATATGTAACTATAGTAGGATAAATAACCTATAGGTATTTTAAAGTTTGGTGTACTGAACTCGCTCTTTAATTAAAACTTTTGTGTGTGATAATATCATATCTATAAAATGTTACATATTATTTCATACTGTTACGGAGAAATACATTTTTCAACATTTTATTACTATATTATTATTAATTACTGTAATTTTTGGTATGTGTGTGTGTGTCGTTGGTATAATATCATCGTCAATAGGAGCCGCTTTTGTGTTGCCGGAATATAGATATCTGATGGCGGGAGTGCAATTCGCGGACTCGTTCGACGTCAACTTGCACAAGTGGCTCTTGGTTAACTTTGACTGTTCAGCCTTGTGGGTGAAGAACGCCACTTATCTGGTGGATGCGTTTAATGTGGACCGGGTGTACTTGAATCACAGCTTCCAGAGCCAGGATCCCCAAGTTCCGGATTACAGAGTAAGAACTTTAGTCTGTAATGTTAAATATTAACCAACAAAAATTGATTAGAATTGTATAATACACCTAAAAACGTTACGATATATTGATAGGTAATTACAAATATATTATTAGTTACGGTCACAAAGTTACATATAAATGATTTCTGTCGGTAAATCATATCAGGCACGAGTGCGACGAAAACAGATTGTAGAGGGATCTTTTTTGAGATATAAAGAAAAATAAATATAAATTATAATAATATGTTATGTAATCAATTATTAATAGATATCATTGTGACCATATTTGCATAACTCTACATTTCATACTATAAAGGCATTTCTAAAATAATATTATGCATATCGTCAACAGTATACATTCGTTCTGTGTAAGATATCTATTTAATTCAAACTAACAAACACCCCTATTAGAAATTTGTTTAAACTTGCTATAATAGTTCATTTTTCTTAAAATATTATTATTAATGATAACAACATTTTTTAATTTACTTACAGAGTATTTTTTTAAATTAAATCATATTAAGATAATGTATCGTAATTGCATGGAAGTGTATTCAGTATTAATCATTAATTATTATAGAATTAAATCCTTATATAAAACGGGAGAATACGTTTTCTAAACAATTTTTCCTTTAACTATTGAATAAATTAGTTAAAATTCATTTTTTTTTAATAAAGAAAAAAAGCATGTAGTGTAGAAAGAAATAATAATTAATCGTAATCTAACTTTTTTTTAACTGTCCCCTTGGTTTTTTGTTTTAATTTTATTGCTTATGTAATATACTCTGTCAAATTACTTTCATATATCACCGATATGGTTTCGATTTTACAGCATTGGCAAATACCGTTGGGCCGGAGGTTCAGATCTTTGAAAATGTGGTTCGTATTGAGGATGTATGGCGTAGAGGGTCTACAGGCGCACATCAAAAAGCAGGTCCACTTAGCTGACTTATTCGGAAAGTTCGTCAGCCAGGACCCAAGGTTCGAAGTTGTCACCGTCACCATGGGATTGGTTTGCTTCCGATTAAAGGTACATAAATGACGTAATAATATATAAATATCAATTGAATAAACGAATTATTCTTATTGAAAAGACTATTAAAAGTGAAAAAGAACAAAAATAGGATTGAATTCTTAACCCTTATGTTTCAATCGCGACACCATAAATTTATTCAAATAAATGACCAAAATTCACACAGATATTATGTATTACACAAATAAAAGTATAAATATAATATACAATATATATTTATATAAATTGGACACTTTTTATTAAAAAATCCAAAATGTCTACAGATGAAACAATACAAGATCCAAAATATTTTGAAAAAAATATCAATTGTAATGTATAGAATATGCTTTTGTAAATATTAGGTGAAATTTGCTGGTATTTACAATTATTAAGTTTCAAATCAAATCAATATAAAATATAACATGTGTTAAATAAAATCGAAAACATTTTTTCATTTCAGTAACAAATTTTTAGTGTTTTTCAATTAAGTACTTTTCCAATTTTGTTTCGGAAACTATACTATCCTCTTCAAGTTAAAGCTTAAAGAACTTTACTGCTCTTAGAAGTAATTGCCCACCGTAAGATAAAAATAATATCATCGTTGTAAAGCCATATTACGTCATACACCGTTTCGTTGTGAATCCCAAGTGTCACTGCAGTTACAACGCACCTTTGCATCGACACCTACGTAGTTCACGATATGCAGATACGTCGTTAACCTAGTTTTTGTTTATACTTTTTGCAGGGTGACAACGTCTGGACGAAAAACCTTTACGAACGACTGATGGCCAGCGGACAAATCTACCTAGTCACGGCCACCGTACGGTCGAGGTTGGTCATACGGTTCGTGGTCTGCAGCCGACTGACGGAAGAGGTCGACGTGCAGTTCGCATGGGACGAGATACGAGCGCAGGCTGATCGCGTGGACAGCGAACGCGACGTGGCGCCCACGAGCATTTGCAACGGCATTACAGGATCGTGGCCAAAGGAAAAGGCGGACTGCGAAGAACTCACCGCCGCCACTCCCATCGTCGTCAAGTCTCTGACCCAAGGATGAGCTAATATATATATATATATAGTTATAGTCTTCATAATATATACCCTCACTGGTGTCGTTATTGTTAAGGATTAGGACGCACGAGAGCGATCTGCTTTTGAAATGTATAAAAATTATTATTACTATTATTATATTATTTGTTATTGTAGGTACCTAATTTAATTGAGTGTGGCAATCGGGCAGTGGTAAAACGAGAAACCGAAAAATCATCACTCTCCGGCCAAAAATTAAATTTATAATTTTCGATGCCTATGTCTACACCTACCTAAATAGGAAACAGATATTATTTACTCGTATTATACCGTGTGTTTAAGCGTATCGTGATGATAATAATAGTTTTTGTTTAAAATATTATCTTTGAAATCGTTAACCTCATTTCGATTCAACCTCTACTCTCTATATTATGTACCATATTATATTTACATAAAAATAAAAACATTTAAGTAATTATTTTGCTATGAAATCTGAATTTATTTGCTTATTCGATTGGTGTTTAAAAAGTTAAAATTCTTAAATAATAAATAGATTGATGCAAAAATCAAAAATATTTAAGAAGTACGTACGTGTCATACACGATATACCACTATCGGGCGATATCCCGAAAAATGCATACAATCGCTATACGAATTCTGAACCCTTCTTGATTGGATTGTATTCTTTACCATTATAAATTATAATTTGCCTACATGGTTGATACGACGATTTGTTTAATCGTCACGATCTGGTCTTGTGTTTTCTTACAAATTTTGAGATGTTTATTATTAAAATATAATATGATATCCTATGTCCTATATCTGCAATCAAATAAAACACGATTACGCTCTATATGATTATACATCGTGTTTTCATCATACACAATAATACATCGTGGCTGGGTGTCGCGGTCGACGGTCGTACCCTCAATATGCGAAAACTCGCCGAGTGTTGTACGTAACAGCCAGTGTTGCTAGCCGGTGTTGCTAGCCGTTGGATGGGTGACCACCCGGGATTTTTAGTAACAAAATCCTTGCTACACAAACTATACATGTTCCAAACCAACCGTCTCCTCTTACAAACAGCTAATAACCATAGTTGCAGCCAGGTCTTAGTTCAATAAAAAAAAAAATATAAATATATAATTGATATCGTATTGTTTATGGACATCGAATTATTTCAAATTTGATTTACTTATTTTGCATGATAAGTGTTATAGTTTATCGTAGGGGTTGACATTGTTTATGTAACCTACGAGTTTCTTTTCATTTCGTAAAATATTAATATTAATACATATAACATTAAGGCATTAATAGTAAGTTATTTAGTATGTACTGGTGTGAATCTGTGTTTGGCGCCTCAGTCACTAAATGTGTTCTAAAGTCAAGAACTAGCTGGTGTCACTAGTTCCCGGCTGGGTAACCACCCAGGTTGTTAGTGACCAATGTTCGCCACATACACACGTGTTCTAACCAACCATACCCTCTCCCACAGTAATAAAACTACTAAAATAGCCAAAATGACCTCTGAAATTGAAGCCTTAACTCAATAAAATAAATAAGTTATTAAGTATATTACCTATGTCAATAAACTGAAATCATGTAATATCTTAAACAAAATTCATACACATCTATACACATTAATTCATTATTATTGTATTCTTTTGGTTAAGTGTAAGTTATTAAAATCGTAAAGTGTTGATTTTCTAAGAATTTATAATTTAGTTGACTATATGATATAATGGCACAGTACTCTGGTTCATATGAATGGCTAAAATAATATGTACTGGCATTCACCAATTATTATTATTTGTATTCATTACTTTGACAGTGATAACTGATAATTAAAACTTTAATTTTAACTCAAATATATTATATAATTATATATTGATAGTACTTACTAGTTAAATACATCGGTAAAAAATTAGGATTGAAAAATCGAGGAAAATCACAACACAGCTATATGTACAGTACACAGTTTTCTACTCCATGGAGAGTTTATTACTTAAAAAAAACAATAAACACAAATTATTTAAGTGATTTTGAAATGAAAATATGTGAGAGTGTATCCAATATCATGTGTGTACGAAGTGTTAAACTGTTGGAGCATTATACGTAATTCGTAAAAGTATCTAAAATATTTCAATGAAATGTTCATATTTGATTGTTATTCGAAATGGTATTTAAAAATAATAACACTTTTTTTAATTGCTGAGTGGATGAATATTAATAGTGAACTTTTGTCTTACAAAAGAAAAAATACAACACATTATTAGTTTTTGTTTTCAAATAAGAAAAAATATACAATAATGGCTTTACATTTTGTGCAGAATATGAATATATTTTGTGAATATGAACATCAAAATTCTAGTTTTAACTTTTAAATACACAATATTTATGTCGACATGAACGAATGTTTTTATTTACTATGACAAAACTTCATTTACTTATGATGTGTATATTTATTGTAGAATATATATTTGTAAAATGTTTTATGGACCTATTTTACTATTGTTTTGTTAGGATAGGACGCTATTCCTCATAATTGTTATCTTAGTCTTTCAGGCATAAAACGCAGTGAAATTATACTCCACGATATCAAAACAAAAGGCTTTAGACTGATGTTGCAGCGTATTGATCTGCTGTATATACAATTGAAAGGGAGAAACACTTTATGTGTTGATTTTGTGGAATTCCATTTTTCGTTTTAAAACGAATATAAAATTAATCAAACTTTAAAATAATATAGAACATAAAAAAAATCCGAGTCTTTATGTCTTTAAATAAAATGCAAGTAATAATGAAAATCGTTAAACTTCAAGAATGTAATATTTTAGAATAATAAATTCAACTGGGACTTTGCAAATAAAAGGTCCTGACTCCAATAAAAATGAACAATACCCACTATATAGTATACATATAATAATAATATTATCGGTGGTGCGTTATACAGGTTCGATGTAAATAAATATTTTTTCGAGTATAATTTATTAAGTAATAACTTTTTAATTTTTAGCTCGTTAAAATTTCAAATTTTAAAATTATTTCAACGTATTTTTATTTTTTATTAGAAATACCATAATATTATAAAATATAATTTTAACTATAAAGAAGATAATTGATTATGATGTAAATTAATACACCGACAGTGGTGTGATACCAATATTGGCGCACTATGTATATGTTTATGAATTTAAGTATTCACTTATTTTAAATATATCTTAAAATTACAACTTATTTAAAACAATTTAAATGAGAGGTTTACATATCTGTAATAACTAAAGGGTTGTATATAAGAGTGTATAAGTGTAAGTCAATTGTACAGCCACCGGCCACCACCAAACGTAATATTATGCACAAGGATGAAATACAAAGTTACAGATTATAATTTATTATATGTCTTAAATATTGTGGACTATGAACAAATATGAAAATTATTCTTTTTGTCTATATTATGTAAAAAATGAACTTAATTCGAAAGCTTAAAATTGAAATCTCTGGAATAACAAAATTCGTCCTTTCATTAGATTCTCATATCGTTCACATGTGAAAAACATATTGCGGTAAGTACGACAATCGTATAGATTATAGACTGACAAAAAACAGCGTACCTACCTATAAGCACCGTCACCAACCTATTTACTAATGATCGTTTATTTACTATTGCCGTAGCATTTGGCCTGTCGCCCAATATTGAACTGTAAATACAATAAAAAATAAACCCCTATAACGTATAGGAATAACAAAACCCCTAGAGCAATTTTACAAATGCTATAGACACGTTCCAAATGACCTTACATTATCACGACTGAAAATAAATATTATAGATTCGTTTGAACTATAATATCTGATCTTAACGCACAGTAATATGTTGTACTTATAAAATAATACAACTCATATAACTATAATATAATAATACAATTTTCAAAAGTTATTAGTCGTATTTTTCGTTTGGTATTATTTGTATGTTATGTAGGTACGTCACGAAAACAATTAATGTTAATCGTATATTTTGCTTACCTAAATCGAATTTATTTAAAAGAGAACATTTTTAGCTCTATTAATGTATAGTACATAGATAAAAACCACCGTAATGAGTAGTGCTGAGGATAAACGTCCTGTGCATTAAAACATACATATTGATAAATGGCCTAGGCCATGGTGTAGGTATAAAAATACTGTTTCCAATTACGTATGATCGTACATCCGTTCTATCACCGATCGATAATTTGGAATCCAAGGGCTGTTGTTGTATATTTTATTTCCGAGATGACGTGTTAACTGTATGTTTTTACATGAGTCAGCTGCAATGAAGGTGCATTAGTGGTCTTACTAACACATACCATGGAAAAATTTCATGTAAAGAAAAATATTACTCTGTTACTTTTAATATTAGAGTGAATTTAGATCTATTATAACTTAAAATAAGGTAAGAATATTATTATCTAGAGCACTTCGATAGGTTTTTTTTTTATGCACTTAAATTCTTAAGTTAGTTATGAGAATTTAAAAACTTTACATTTTTTTGTCTAAAAGTAAAACCATGTCTTTCATTAGTAAGATAAAGAGTAGATTGCAGAGATAACACATGAGGGGAAAACATCTTCTTAAATAATTTACAATGCGTGTACGACATAATCATGAAGTACATGCATGCAGCTAATCTGTGGCGTCATGCAGTTTTATCATTTAAGGCAAATATTGAAGCTACGTAACCCACATAAACATGCAATTTTAAATAAATGAATCATATACCTTACATGTATTCACCTACATCATCTACAACAGTGGCTCTTAATATTTTAAAAATGTGCAGAACAACTTACTGTAATTTTTATGAATTTTTGCGAATCATAGTCGTAAAATAAAACAGTAGGTACTTTTATGTATTTCAAATTATATATAGGTACATAATATTTTACATACATTTCAATAGGAAGTAAAATAATTGTCTAGCATCAGTGAACAAGATGAAACTGAAATGTCTTCTTTATTATAAACGATTTTTATTTTTTCACTGAAGAGATTTTGGCCGGAACACTCTTCATGTTCCACGGAACACCGTTTAAGAACCGGTCTACTGGATGCAGAGGCAAAACGTTTTTCGCTGATGGACTCGTGGCCAGCCCTGCGGTACATGACGACGATCGGTGTTGAACCCGTGTATTACGTTTCATCTTTAAATAATAATAATAATAATAATATGGTCTACACTTTGTACATTGTACGTCGTCGGGAGCTCGACACCCTATAAGCGGGCTTAATAATTGTATTATACTTTCAAAGTTTAATAATTTTGTTATACTCAAAGTTTAGTAATTTGTTTGTCGTATATTATAAATACTTCCGCACAGTGCAGTAGTGGATTTATGCGAGAAGGCGAAAGAAAAGAAAAGCGGTTAACTTTCATTTGCCGGCGCTTTGTTGGCCTTACGGAAATCCTTATAGGTAGTTAATCATTGCGTTTGATTGTATACG